TCATATTCGCCGTTTCACAGCGAATTCTTCTGCCTTTTTTTTTGGTACATATTATAGGTGGGTGTTGGATTTTTGTTCGATATACGGCCTGGTCCCAGCGTGTTGAAAATACATTACACATGTATATATGATACCATAAATTTAATATGCAAAACCATAATTCAAAAGTTCAAAGAGCAACACGGTAAATTTCACATGCATAGAAAATACAACATTGCAAAAATTTGTCTAAGTTAATCAAAAAAATGTTGACATTAAAACTTGACATTCATTCTCAACAATGTTGGTCAAAATGCTCCCCCGGGTTGGCGTAAAAAATATGTTGGTCTTAAAGATACTACAATGAATAGATAATTATACATGCATGGTATCTGTATGTTTTATATTTATAATATTTATTAATAAAGGTGTATTAACCAAGAAACATTTACTTCACACAACTGTACATGAAATATGAAACGAGCGAAATAAATAAATAAATAAATAAATAAATAAATAAATGAATAAATAGATAAATAAATACATAAATAAATAAATAAATAAATAAATAAATAAATAAATAAATAAATAAATAAATAAATAAAATAAAATAAACTTACTTTACGTGTAGGTTTGAAATTCGAGAAGAACTTAATGAATTAGATTTAAATAATACACTAAATTTAGGAAATGATTCTCAAATTAAAGAAAGTAATATAGAGAAGGCTAAATGAGGAGCCCTTTGCTAGCAAGCTATACAATTAATTTATACAATTAGGCTTAACATTTTTTTTTAAAAAATGGGTTTTACGTGTATATCGATGATTTTCGTAATCAAGGACATTGTGAATAATTTCTTTACTACCACCTCCCCCTCCCCCCCCCCCCATAAACGTTTAAGAACATCGAGTTTCCGAGAATCTTAAAAATGGATGTAACATCGTCGATATTGATTTTTTTTTCATAATAATTGGATTTCTAAACAATGTTTTTGTCTCCCTGCCCTGGCCTACACTTTTCGCTAAAGGCAAAAGGAAAAAAAAATCATCCGGAATATCTACTGCTTGAAAGAAATTTTGCTTACAAAACTTGCAACGGATAATATCTCATGTTTGGGCTTCGAGAAAGGGCTAGATATAACGGTTTTAAAACTTAGAATAGAAGACATGATTTCCATTTTCCCTCTGAATGCATGGCCCTTTAAGATTAGATTTTTTTTTTAAATTAAGGAAAGAAGTCGTTTATTTAAATATTTACAAGCACCTGAAATTATTCATATAAAGAGGTGTTAATTGTTTGCTTACGGGTTTAAAACACACAATCCGATTACTTTTTCTACAATACAGATGATAAGTGAATACATTTAATTATTTCACAACATGATTTAAAGCTGATTTAGGCCTCCTTAGCTTTCGCCCGCTGTGTTAATTACTTCAATGAATTGAATAATTATTTGAAAAACAGATAAATGTTTCTTTAGAAAATTCAGAAATTAAAAATCAAGATACTTAGATACACAATTTCGACAACCTCGTCCTAATTCCGCTATAGATAAGAATAAAATTCAATATGTTAATTGCTTTCTAGGAGCATCGAAAAAAAAAATGGCTAATTCCTACATGTATATCCTGGGGTAATCTTGCACGGGGATAAGAACGGAATTACCTGATACACCTGTAAAAGGGTAATAACATGTTTTTTAACAATCAACAAAGGTGATCAACTAAAACATGTGTAACTCAAGGACTTATCGATTGATTAGTATATTTACCGTAGACCCGGGTTCTACGTAGAAAAGAACATTCTATGTTTTTCCCCCACACCATTAAGAAAAAAAAAACTAAAAAAAAAAAAAATAAATAAATTGAAATACCACTAGCCAGAATCTAAAAATAAAAACGAATTAAAAAGAGATTGTATATATATAAATGCTATAGGAATGGTTTAAATCTATCAATTCTGATTTTATCTCCATCAGAATAGATTGGGACAGTGTATATTTGCGGAAATTAGTTTCGATGAATTAAATGGAATTTATGACTTAGTGAAAACATATCGTGTATCGGATTGACCTTATACATGTATATAAGGTATGTAACAAAAAGAGAGATTAAATTTGAATAGTGTTTGGAAATTGTTATTATTTTTTGTGATTATATCGTTATTGATACTAATTTAAAATGTTCATAAGAATGCCTACAGATTTTATTTTTTAAGGCATTCTAGAGTTTGTTTTCAATGTCAGAAGAATCGTTTTTTATTTTAAAAGCATAATTAGATTTGTTTTTAGTAAAGGAAGAAGCCGATATATCACGATATTACATGCAGTTATATAGGGTATTCTTTAATGAGTTTTGTCATTGTTGACTTTGGAAGCTGTGCTTACTCTTTACGTTAGTCAAATTGAATGTAGTCCTGTGTTTATTCCGTTAAGATTTGTACTGGCAGATAGAATGAAAAATAAACTCGGTGAAAATCTGATTTTATGATTGGAGTTGCTGCCCTTGATGGACGTTAAACACGAATGTCAATATCAATGCATTGTTAGTGAAATAAAAAGAATAGGACTTTTTGTATCATATTGGATAAGAAGGGTGTTCTGTTGATACCGGCCGTTATACGTGTATATCAGAGTGAAAAAATGCATGTAAATTTAGTTATGCAGAGAACGATGGTTGTATATGTAAGGGAAAAAAGACAAACCAGAAAAATCATTTTCTAAGAGATTAATTGTTTCTGTGGGGTTGTGTGTGGATTTAAACCATTGAATTATTAGAATTTCGAGGATCATTTTTGCATAAAAGCTTGTGTATCTTTAAATTTTATCTACATGTATTTGTTTTATAAATAAGAATAATAAAATAAAAAAAAACGTAATAACTAAAATTACTTGTGTTTTTTTTTAAAATTAGAATTATGTATTTTTTGAAATTTTTTTCTGAGAATATCAATACTCCGATAAATATACAAAATCCCGTGAAGTTGGATGTAAGACATCGTTAAGAAGTGGTAATGATCTTCCGTAATATATCATTGTACCATTTGTGACCACCGGCGATTTTTTTACTCAATTTTGAAAACTTTGTGTGATTGTGTTTCTTGCCGAAAAAAAAAAACCGTTGAAATTTCTCGATTTTTTTTCCATGATCTTGTGAAGAAGTATACAAAAATATATTCACCGCCCGCTCATTTTTGGACACGTTCAAACCAAACAGAGGTCCCATTTTTTCTACAGAAATAATATTTTTATGTTGTAATAAAAATCATTGACGTTAAGAGTGCTCATGAACCGAAAATGTCACTTCTATCAATTTGTCATAAAAATGCAATATTATTCTTAATTTGTTGAATTCATACGTATTAACATAGTTATACAACATAACAATACAGAAAAAAAATGATATTGTATAAAGTAGATGATGAATTTATACATACATTATGGTCAGAATGCAATTAAAGATTATGGATTACCGACAATTTAGAAAAAAGCTTATTCCTAGCTTATTGATGTGATATTATTAGTATTTTTTGTACTTGGAATAAAATCCCTTATGGTTTCTTTAAAAAGAAGTATCAAAAGATAGTAGACCTCATTATCTTCATAAACCTATTTGTTAATTTTACCTTCTATAATATAGCCTAAATGATTGTTTTTTAAGAGGCCATAAGTGCGTCCATAACACCTATTTATCTATCAAGTTCAAACTTTTTTTCAGGTTAAACTGAATAGAGACATTGACGATAAAATACTATATAAACCATCAATGCATAAGAGTACATCGATATTATGTATATGTTAATTATATCGACCTTTCAAAAAAGATAATTCCATATTTATTCCGAGGTGATTACATCTGTAATGTAACAGTAATCTGTATAAAAAATGCTGAATAGATAAAGATCAGGAAATAGAGATAAGATATAAAAGGAATTCATAACCCGGAACAGCAAGCCATTTAAATCCAACAAGTCGTTAAGTTGGCACATAATTTACGTGTATATACATGTGCACGTACTTAATGTACTTAAATTAAAAGATTTTACAATTGTATTCAGGAAAACGACCCCCCCCCCCCCTGATGTTTACTGAAAGACCCTACATGATTTTTTTTTTAAATTTGATTTGCAAGACAACCAAACATTATTTAGGCTTTAATACATGTATATTAATATATCACTAATCTATTAATTAAGGTAGTCAATAGAATATCATTTTTATATTCTAAACAAAAGAAAACTTATTCCTTTTGCAATAATTCTGAATTTTCTCTTGTGCCGTCATGTAATTTTCTTCAATTACTACCAGTGAAAAGCCTTTTAAAACATTCTTACTTACATTATGCAGGTAAAAAAAACCCCCAACTCTTTCCTACAAGTGTACATGTAGTTTGCACAGGAAGCAACTGACATGAAAAAAAAAATGTAAGAGTTTACAAGTTAAAATATACGGATATAATTAACCAGTCTTTTTTCCCCCTTACATTCCATTCCTATACTAGATGGAATATTGATTTCAGTTAAATCTGATTTTGGAAATTGAATCCAAATTGGTAAGAGCAAAGTCATTTAGAATTTTTTATCTAAAAAAAGTAGTTTTAAAAAATATTTATAAATATTTTTGCACTGCACTTATATCTTTTATGTTATATGATATTTTTCTCATTTTATCGTTTGAAAGTGTTATCTGATTTCATGTATGAAATATATCGTTTGAGTCGGTGAGACATCTAAAAATTCAAGTCATAAAAAGGAGATCCTTGATATTAATAATTAATTCAATCCTGCTTTAAATTTATGCGTATTGATACAGAAAGGAGTTTTTGATTATGAAAATGATTTCTGGAAGCTCAAAGTTCCACTTTTGTTTACAATTATCTTCCGCTTACGTTGTCTGGGTTTGAACTGATGTTGACGTAATATTTTGGATGCACTTTACAGGAGGCTTAAAATAATTAAGACGGAAAATGAAAAAAAAAAAACAGTTTTATATAAGACATGTATCATATATATATTTTTTTCAGATGAAGTCTTGTCTGGTTCCAATTTCATTGTCCGTATTAGTCGTGTAGATGATAGTGTGCGCATAACCGGAAGTAGTACGTTTCGCTGGACGGAAGTACAAGACAGCAGCAATTTACTACTTCAGCGGTTGTCCAATAACAAACCCTGCCTCAATATACAACGTTACCTCCCTGAAAAGACGAAAAATTCTACGAAACATGAACTAAGATCAGTGGTCAGTTACACAGGGGATCTGAATTCCAACAAAACAAAAATAATGGAACCGAACACCGAACCCGAGGTAAAAACGGGCCAAGATAACTTGGGATATTCATCAGAGGATGAAGTGCACAAACCAAACACGGTACCCGATGACATCACAGTTAATATCGATGTCGATGATAAGGATATGACGTCAAAAACACATTCCATTACACAAGAACCCAAACTGCAATATGACGATTCTACAGAAATTCAGATTTCATTGGACGACGAAAAACGGAATGGTAATTACAATACCGAAAAAGAGCCAGAACGCAAGAAAAGTATAGCGGTCCAGTGAGTATATTTTGATGCACTCTGATCTTGAATAGTGGTTATATACTAGTCCGTTCAGACGGTTCTAATCTCAAAGATATAATTTCATGAAACTGGTGTTAAAATATGTATAACACTTCTTTAAAATTAAGCAAAATAGTGCTTAAAAAGATGTCTAGAACATTCAGTACAAACTGAAATATTAACACATAAAGAAAAAAAGGATCGTGTACTCTATACATGTATATGTGTTATTTTCGATATGTTACACTTTCAATCTCACCTCGTTCAAAATTTGAATTACAAGAAGGATAACTCAGTCTGTTGAATTTTTTCACTGAGGACAAAAGGAGCGAAAATAAAGCGCACGCGAAACTTTCTTTGTATACAATATACATCTCCTCGCATATTGGTTTCTTTTTCATGATAGTCTTAATATATAAGAATATTAACATTAACTTGGTGTCTTTTTTACATTGTACAATATTCATGCATCTGTAATATACATCTAATTGTTAAAGGACCCCCTTTTATGATTTCTTCGGTTCCTATCATGACGTGAGGTAAGAGGTACACAATTAATCCTTTCCCAAATATTTTTTTGGTACAAGGTTCTTATAGATAATGTATTACCTTGATTTTAGTGAATAAAGTGTATTAACGTCCACTGAGTAATTTCTCCTTTATTTATTGTTGAAACCACTTCCCTTAATCAACCCATTAACTCTAACTAGTTAGAACCTGTTATCCAAAAGATTTCCTAAGAAAAGGGCTCTTCCATCAATCAGACATAGCATGGTGTACAGATCAATTATACAATATACATCGAAACCTAATCTATACAATTATTTACACAGACATGAATGAAAACAATAAACCTATTTCTTTCTTTGTTAATTATGTGGGATTAACGGTTGCAACTATTGCAGAAAAAATACTTAAGCCGCTTACGTACGTAGGTTGTGATTTTTTCCCAATAGTTTCAATAGGGTTAATTTCCGCATTACAAACGAAGATTAAGTATCCACCTATGGAACGCCGCAGCTGCCTTATGTGGAGAACATTCATTATATGCTGATACTTTAACATTATATGCTGATAGTTTGTCATTATATGCTGATACTTCAACGTTATATGCTAATACTTCAACATTATATGCTGATACCTTAACATTATATGCTGATACTTTAACATTATATTCTGATACTTTAACATTATATGCTGATACTTCAACATTATATGCTGATACTTTGTCATAATATGCTGATACTTTGTCATTATATGCTGATACTTTAACATTATATGCTGATACTTTAACATTATATGCTGATACTTTGTCATTATATGCTGATAGTTTGTCATTATATGCTGATACTTTAACATTATATGCTGATACTTCAACATTATATGCTGATACTTCAACATTATATGCCGATAATTTGTCATTATATGCTGATACTTTAACATTATATTCTGATACTTCAACATTATATGCTGATACTTCACTATATGGTGCTTTAAAAAATAGGTTAAACATCGGGATCTTCATACTAAAATTCTTTGACAAGAGAAAAAATCCAAAAAAAATTGTTTTCAATTGCAAAGTTTTAGTATATATATACACGTACATGTATTGGTTTATATACATGTACATGTATTGGCAAATTGATGGGACGAAAAGGGATAGGATACACGTGTAAGCAGTCTTGAATATACTGGCGTATTTGGGAAGGGGTAGAGAGTACATATATAATATTAAGAGTGAACTAAACGAAGATAGCCTTGCAAAAAACGCGTGTACTGCACGAAAATTTAAGATATTTTGGAAGTTCAGAAACTCTTCATGGTATTAAAACTTCGCTTTTTTTAAACATCAATGATATTACAGGACATCAAAGCAGAATATAATTTATAGGGGACAAACATTTGATTCGTTTGGGGAGGGGGTGCAATTTTTTTTTCGAGTCAGATTATTTATTTTCATGTCACTTCGTGAATGATAGATTATTCATTTTCTAGATGACCAGGTACAGATTATTTATTTTCACACAAAACAAAAAAGTCTAACCAAACTCGAAAACTCCATTTCTTTGGGGAGAGGGGTGGGGCTACCTCCACGCCAAAGTCATCCTAGTACAGATGATTAATTCACATAATATGATACCCCCCCCCCCCTCCCATGCGTATTGCATGGTCGTTCCGGCCTCAGAACCACTCGTCAGCACTTAAGTTTTTGATAGGTCTTTTATATGTAATTTTCAAATCGGTAGGACGGGGGTTGTTGTTCAGGGATTTCATTGTTATGACATCGACATAGTAATTTAGGCTACTAATGACTCAAAAGCTTTTCCAGAATCTAGCTGCCATTGCATTTTAACTGGACTATTTAAGCTGGTCTATACATCCAATGCCATGCATGCGATCATTCTGGAAAACTGTAAAATCACCGAAACTGAGATTATGAAGTTAGTTTGAACTTTGTGAATATTGACGGAGTTGTAATCTTCCCAACACCCCACCCCTCCCCCTTCCAAAAAAATTAAAAATTATAAACTCAAAAATAATATTTTTAACATCCAAACAACTAATATGATATTTCACTAAAAATTCTTCAATTTCAATTAAATTATACCTCATGCAGTATAAATTCATCTATAAGAAATCATATTAAAATACATGTATTTACTAGTATTTATATTTTTTGCAATAATACATATAATCATGTAACTTGTAAGCCAGTAAACACATTCCAGAGGGGTATACAGGATTTCAAGATGTGGGGGGTGTTTGTTTGATTATTGTTTAACGTCCTTCTCGAGAATTTTTCACTCAGATTGAGACGCCACCACTTGCCAGTGGAGAGCTGCAAATTTTTTACCTATACTCGGCACTCAGGGCCATTGAGCAGCGAGGGATCTTTTTCGTGCCAACACCTACTGCGACACGGGGCCTCGGTTTATACGGTCTCATCCGAAGGACCGGTCTCCACGTCCCACAGTGGGATTCGAACCCGCGACGTAAGGACCAACTCCTTACTTCGCGATTCTAGAGCAGACGCTCTAACCACTGCGCCACGTGGGCGACGGGGGGGGGGGGGGTGATATTAATGACAAAATGACAACATAAACTCAAAATACTACTAGTAAAAATGAGTATATAGGAGCAAAGATTTTCTCAAGATTCAGGTTTTCTCTATTGAATATCAAGAACATAAATGTTTTCTAAAACTTTTCTTTCTTTCAACCTCTTACTTTTTTTTTCTTCATTTTTTTTTAAAGACGTACATATACCACATATATATAAGTGTGGTACGTCTTTTTTAAACGTGGGTTTTCTTGACTGAAAGTGTTAGAATCTAAGTGTATTTAAAGTAGATTCAAAATTTTTTATTAACAACCCGAAAGATAAGCCCCCATGATTACACATACATATTTTGAGATACAACGTTAGTTTTCCTTGAAATGATGAATGTGAACAACAATCAAAATGTCAATATCCACTTGAACCTTTAAAATCCGACCAAAGAGACCTTATTAGCTGAGAAAAGGCGAGCATACGTCGAACAACCTGCAATAACCATTTTAATAAAAACTTAATATTCTCACACATTCTGTTAAAACATGCGTTTTGGACGATTTTCGTATCACGATCCCGATGTTTTACCTATTTTTAAAGCACCATATAGTGAAGTATCATCATATAATGTTAAAGTATCAGCATATAATGTTGAAGTATCAGCATATAATGTTAAAGTATCAGCATATAATGTTGAAGTATCAGCATATAATGACAAACTATCAGCATATAATGTTGAAGTATCAGCATATAATGTTATAGTATCAGCATATAATGACAAAGTATCAACATATAATGACAAACTATCAGCATATAATGTTAGAGTATCAGCATATAATGTTAAAGTATCAGCATATAATGTTGAAGTAACAGCATATAATGACAAACTATCAGCATATAATGACAAACTATCAGCATATAATGTTAAAGTATCAGCATATAATGAATGTTCTCCACATAAGGCAGCTGAGGCGTTCCATATCCACCCCTTTCCCAAAATATATACTATATACTGCAAAGGCCATTCCAAGGACATGCTTTTAAACTACTTGGGAAAGGGGGTTCTCAGAATAGGACAACGCTGTCAAATGAAGATGGAACTGTTAAAAACATGAGAGTTGTGAATGATAAGCTGTGTTTAAAGCATTGCATAAAATCTCATTATGTCCTCAATACGTGATCATAACAGGTGCAGCAGAACATAGCAGGCCCGTAGAACGCGGGGAGGGAGGCGCCCCCCCCCCCCCCATTTTTTCTGAGGGTAGTATTCTGCTGTATTAAATGTTCTTTAAGATGCTGGTTGCCCCCTCCCTTCAACCATTTTTGTTGCTGTTAGGTCGAGCAGTGGCAAATTCCAGGATCTGGACACTTCATTACTTAATTTAGGTGCCCCTTTTGAAACCGTTGCTACAGGTCTGCATAGGACATATTTCATGCTGATAGTTTTGACTTTGTTGATGAAAAACAACGAGATGGTGTAAACGTAACTATTTGATCATAGGAAACAATGTTTTTCAGCCACTCTTTAAAATTAAGCCGATTTTCCTCTGCTAACGTTAACGCTTGTTTTGGTGTGAAAACTGATATATTTAGATATTGATATACAAGTTAATACATGAACTTTATTTTTTTCGAAACGCATCAAATATATAATTTAAGATCTTATGTACCTTGGAATGACCTTCAACCACTACTAAAATGTCACTGACCTCCTAAACCCATTGACCCCAAACCCCCTCCCTCACTGTAAATGAATCAAATTACATATTTGAAAACATTAGTATATATGGTAAATGCGTTCTTTCAACTGAATGGAGGTAATATTACGTACAAATACCTGAAAAAGGGACTCTGTATATTGAAAAAACAAATATATTGAAAAACGTATAAAGAGAAATTTGGAAACAACGACTTTCTCATATAAGGAGTAAATCACTTAAATTGCGCCTATTGTATAAATACATTCATTGTTCTTTGTTTTTTTTTCTTATTATGAATTGTATTGCTTGACCCATATGGGTGTATTATACAATAAAGAATTATTATTATAAGGATCAACCAAGCTATTTCTTGCATAAACAGAATGATTGTAACTGATGGAAAAAAAAAATCCGTGATTAATATAAATTATGCAACCCATTAGAAGGATCACCCGCTATATTTTATGGTCATCATCAAATCATTGTCGTTGAAAAAAAAAATGATTCAATGTGTATCTTTTTGCAGGATATGTAAGGTAAATAAAAGTAATACCCTAAATACATTATATGCATGTACGTGTATTGTAGTGTTTTCTATCATGTGTTTGTATAGGAGTACATGTTTATGCTAAAACAGGAAAAGCATTTCATTGTTACAAGCAACATTGTTGTATACATGTATATGACAGACCTTTTAAAATCATGTAAAATTTAAATAAATATTTAAAAATCTTAAAAATAATGCTGAAATTGAAATTTCATTGTTTTAAACAGGTATATACCACAGGTACTTGTGGACAGCCCCCCCCCCCCCCCCAATTCAACCCCGACGTTTGATAAAAATAAATTATATTTATTACACTTATTCATCATGTGTGCCATAGGAAAAAATCGTGAAAACCCCAAAATAATCGTTCCACACAAAATACCCCACTATATATTCTCTCTTATAATGTATAGTGGAGTATTTTTGTGTGGAACGATTATTATGGGGTTTTTACGATTTTTTCCTGTGGTACACATGGTGACTAAGTGAATAAATATAATTTGTGAAAAAAAAATGTCCAACAATCATCGGGGATGAATGGGGAGGGGGGTCCTATCCACAAGTACCTGCGGTATATACATATGTTTTCAAACAATATGAAGACTGAGCATTTAAGAAAATGTTTTTCACTCAATGTACATGTATATTGAATTCCATGTTCCAGAAAGTTAATCAGATTTTACTTTAAACAGCTCATCGAAAAGTGTTGCAATTATTAAACAAATCCTATTTCAATGTACATTTGTATCAACCATGACATGTAATTGACAAGTCTGATTTTTTAATGAACAGATACTTTAAAACTCGGTAAGGATTGAGAACGCGCCAGACTGCTTTGCTTCTAAAAGTTGTGCACGGGATTAGAGCATTTATTACATGTTCATGCATATATATGAAAGTACTTTTCTCTTCAATATAAACAGAACTATGTATCATGAAACATTTCTCTCTGAAATGTTTACTTAGATTAGTTTTTCACTTTACAGGAATGCATATTGCTTTTTATTGAAGCTTCATTAAGCGTTACAGATTTTGTAGTTGGTATACATAGTTTATATTACCAGACACCTGCTGAAGGTATTATCCCACCTGGAAGTATCACTTCCATGGTTTTTTTCCCTCTTTTTCTTGTTTTGAAATATTTATAAATATATACATGTCTGTTTATACATTTAATAAAAAAGGTAATTGCCTATGTTGTTTGCACCCGTATTAGTTGATACAGTTGCTTTTAGTTGCTATCTACATTGTATATAATTTTTTTTTTCAAATTGTGTGGCTTGATTGCTTCCACACCGTCTCTTTGCTCATTTTCTAGTGAATGATTTTTGTTCACTGTGGGACAGTAGCTTTTTAAAAAAAGAATAAACATACCTTAATAGATAGTTACTATTTTTCAAATTATTAATCGAATGATGAGACAGGCAGGTAAAAAACAAAACGACAAACAAAACCATTCTTTTGATTTATGCTGTTATAGAAATATATATGTTTAAAGACCATATCATTCTATTAATCAAGTGTATCCAAGACAGTTTACATAATGTAATCAATAGACAATTTTACCCAGAGATATATTTACCAGTATTCCTCATGTAATATGAATACAGTAAAATACGCTTATAACGAAGTGCCAGGGACGGACGATTTTGCTTCGTTATACACATGTAATTCATTATTCAGTAAGTTCTCGATATATTTTAAAGCCAAGGGGAATGAAAATCACTTTGCTGTAAGCGTCAATTCGATATGAGTGTGTTCTACTGTTACAGTACTTTCATTCAATGTGGTTTGTTATTTTAAAAAAGATTATTATTAGGGTTGATGAACCCTCTGATACGAGAGATAACTCTTAGGAATAAATGACTATTATTCCTTTATAAAGTTGCCACAGCTAAAGGCCATTTTTGTAAAGTTTTGCCCTGTAAGGTGTGCTGAAATTATGTGCATTATAATTTCTTTTGGTCCGGAAAATCATTAGCTCAGCTAAAAAAAAAAAAAAAAAAAAAAAAATTCTGTCTGAACGAACATAGGGATAAATAATCTTAAGGCAGTATAATTTGTAATTTTTTTTCTTCATTTTTTTAAAGATGTTATTTGAATAAAATGATTCTATGGGCCTATTTTACAAAAGAACATACGACTAAGACCAAAAACTTTAAGTTGTAGTAAAATCTTACAAACGTAATGATTGTCTACATAAATATATCTTTCAAAATTCCCTTTATTAAAGATTTAAAACAGTTTTTATATTGATTTAAAAAAAAAAACGTAGTTATTTTCAAAATTACTTTTTGGTCCTAGTAAGTTGTTTTGTTAAACACAGAACATTTCAATTATATTTAAAGAAATAATGACTTGTCTAGAAAGGTTCAAAGTTCGAAAATAATGTTAAACAAAGGTATCATGGAAATTCATTATCGAAAAACCTCAAATATCAAATGGAACTTATGTTATCATTTGTAAGATTTAAATGAACAAATTTTTCCATTTTCCCAAACATCTTCAGTTTCAAATAATGCAGTTTTAAGAATCAGATTTACTTTGGCTAAGAGGAAAGAAAGGAAAGAAACCCCACTTATTCCTCATCCTTATGCATGCAATTTCAAAATCTATATTTTAATTTTAATATATAAACTGTTACATGTAGTTTTATTAAAATATTGTGTGGAATACAGAGGAACAGACAGATTTTTCATGTAAGACAAAACAAGTCTTTCAGATTAAAGAAAATTGCTTAGACCAGACGTATTGATTTCAATTTTCAAAGAAAGTCAAAACATAAACTCCCACTCTATATTCTATATTTTCAAAGTTACTCAGATTAACCATCAATATTTGATAAAATAGTTCAGTTCCATTTCGTAATGCAAAGCCGTCAGTATTATGAACATCAAAAAACAATAATCACCCGTTGTGGAATAAATTGCTTCTAGCTTTTAAACCAAAAACGGATTCTACTCATATTTGAAACATTTTCGAAAAGTATATTAAACATTGACTTTTTATAAACCGTCATAAGCTTTTTCCTGGAGTAAAGCAGGATTAGCATTAATGCAAGCAGCCGTAACTGCTGCTTTTTGATGACTCGTTCTTTGGAAGATAATGAAGATACAATATTGCTCGTTCTCGTCTAGGGACGAGGAACAAAAATGGCTGTCATGGATGGAGGTTCAGTTCAAGAAGATTGCTGGCGACGATGGAGAAATCAGCTTAGAGGAGTTCAAAGACGCCCTTGGGGTCAAACGGGTAAGTCGGAATCTCTTTTGCACTGAATGCTATTAAAAATTGCAATGATCTGTGATTTGCATACGTAGCACTATGGTCATTTCATGTACATGTATTTTTTCATCACAATAATTTTAAAATAACCAGGCGTTGTCAAACACCATTGAAAAAAAATCGCTATAACTTGATTTGTTTTAGTCCTTTTTTGCTGAGCGCTTCTTCAATTTATTTGACACTGATAAAAGCGGAAGTATTGAGTGTGGAGAGCTTATGGACGGCCTCCGGATGTTAACAAAGGGCAAGCCTGCGCAGAAACTCAAGTTCCTGTTTAATGTTTATGACGTGGATGGTCAGTTGAAAAATGTTTTACGTCAAAAATTACTAATTATAAATATTATTTTTACGAATTTAGAGCATGGCAAACGTTTCACACATTTGTAGTATGAAATACTGTGTTCTTTTAATTTACGTACATGTTTCTGTATACAGTATTCATAAAAGATATCTTTCGAAAGTTAAAACTTAAACACTTGCCTTTGTGAGAGTCGATCGATCGATCATGATAAATTAACAACTTAATTGCATTTAAGTACTTAACATATGTCTGATTCTTATTCAAATGTGAAGATAGAGAACAATTGTGGGCAGAGCAAACATGGATTGTTTCTAACGATTGTAATGGGTTTTGAAAAATTTAAACTCTTTCTTTGATTTCTTTACATGTATTACTTTTTTTTTTATCTTTTCCATTTTAAGGATCGGGTTCAATTGACCGGGAGGAATTGAAAACTGTATTACGATCCTGTATGGAAGAGAGTTCATTGTCTCTGGGGGAAGATGACCTGGATGATCTAACAGACGTACTATTTGATGCCGCGGATGAAGACAACAGCGGAAGCATAACGTTCGAGGAGTTAAAGGCTGAGCTAGAGAAACATCCAGGAGTGATAGAAAATTTAACAATCAGGTAAAACGTTTTTGAATGAAAAAATGTAGTCTAAACTATCATTGTTTTAACAGTCACATCAGGTAAACTAGTCAAAACAACAATTACAAAAATAATGTCAATTTTCAATTTGCATATTTGTAAAACGTTTGACGGATTTTTTTTTGTTTTGAACATACATTGTATTTTATTGAATGAATTAAAAGAATTGGAAACAAGTTCTTGCAACTAACTGGCTCATCTCCTTAAATATAACAATGTCATTCAATTGATATACATGTAGAATATAAATTTGAACTTCCTTTTAAAGTAACAAAAGAAGCAAAATTTCAGTGGATGCAATTTCAAATTCTGCATAGGATTATTGCAACAAATAAATACCTTTACAATCTCAAACTAATTGATTCACCTGTATGTTCCTTTTGTAAACAAGATGTCGAAACGATTGAACACTTATTTTTTGAGTGTTTCTGCGTTAAAAAAAATATGGTGTTACATTGAGGAATGGTTTATAAATAAGTTTTATTTTACCATCAATTTTGATAGAAAGGATATACTTTTTGGCAAATTCAACAACAAAAACATGTTTAGACTACACAATATATTAATACTTACTGTTAAGCAATTTATTTTTGCTAGTAGGTTTAAAAATGTGCCTAAACTAAGCATCTCAATGCTAGAAAAAAATATTGTGGATAGAATATTAGTTGAAAAAGTTATACTTTTAAGAAACTGTAAATTTTCAGAATATGAAAAATTGGAAAACTATTTGTGATATGATATAATGTATTTAATTTTCTGAAGTTTATATACAAATGTACAAATACGTTAAAATACTTAATACTGTTCCCCCCACCTCACTTTTTTGCACCCTTTCACCCCCTCTTTCCTTTCTTTAATTTTATTTCTGTATGTAAAGCTTTCACAGTGAATATTCATTAAAATGTACAATATGTCATATACAATTTTAATGTGATTCTGAAATGCAACATATATTTACTACAAAGAAATTATATTTAATATGAAGTATCAGGCAGTAGAAATGAAAGTATGTATTGAATGTTAACAAATATATTGTATAGTCTGTATATGTGAAAGCACAAATAAAATCTATGAATTAAAAAAAAAAAATAATATAAATTTAACAATTGATACACGTGAAAATTCTGTTAAATAACATATCAATTTAAAATCTACGGGTTTCATCAATAAATTTATTCACAGCAGTAAAAATATTGATATTTGTTTTGAAAGGCAAATTCAAATCACACCATCATAATAAATTTGTATCAATAGTGAACCAATTCTTCAAATACAAATAGGCGGTTAAATAAAATTATTCCTAACGTTTCGATTTATATATTTTTTTTGCAGTGCTGCACAATGGCTGAAACCCCCGGCAGCCAGTAAGAAAAAGCAGAAAGGATGGACAGAAAAGTTTACATTGAAGTATATACGTAACAACCTGAGAAAAGTTATCTTCCTGCTTCTGTATGTCTTGATCAACCTCGCTTTAACAGCGTACACAGTGTATAAATACAAAGACTCCAATGGCTTTGTGATAGGTACGATATCGATCTATTGCAATTAGATGTTTCCACCCAGAGATGTACTTCTATAAATGCTTTTTTCGATAAAACCTCAGTTCTCTTCCATACCTCCACTCCTCGTAAATTGTGCTCTTTTGCAAGCAAACATTAAAAAAAATGTTGTTCATAGAGACCAATCGGTTGATTAAAAAAATATTTTTTATGAGTATTTTCGTTTATATTTACACTTATTTGCTGTTTCATGTTGTATTAAAGGATTGGGTTTCCCTGCAATAACTACTCTACCTGTGGAGAAAAGAAAAGGATGTTGCTCTGAAAAAAAAGTTTATTTTTGCTTTTTCAGTCGCCCGTATTGGAGGAATGAATCTCAATTTTAACTGTATGTTCGTCCTCGTTTTGATGCTGAGAAAATGTCTGACATACTTACGAGCTACGCCATTGGCTGGATTTCTTCCCTTAGATCAGAATATACAGTTTCATAAAATGGTCGGAGGCATGATAGCATTTTATGCAATCATCCACACGATCGCACATATAGGAAATGCTAGTAAGTTTTAAAATCTCATATCAATATATAGACTTTTATGGTAGATCTTCACTACTAAAAGGCTATTTATATTCTTTTTCTGCTTTTGGTAAAGTAACCCCATGTATCAAGGCCTCAAACAAAATATATTTTTAGTGTAAATATATTTCCAATCAATACCCCTTTTTCTTAACAAAGGTAAACGGCATAATCATTTTCAAGCAAAAGATTGTTATATAATATTTGATAGTATTTTGATATATAATTGTCTTTTTGTAGTTTACATTGAATATGTGACACCAGAGAAGAACCTGACAACAATAGATATCCTATTCACAACGAAAGCAGGGATCGGCTGGGTTGAGGCCTCGGCATACATTACGGGATGGCCTATCCTTGTCATTCTGATTATTATGGTGATCTGTTCACTTCCGTTCGTTAGAAGAGGTGGCCATTTTCAGGTTAATTTCAACAGAATTCATTATACACATGATTCCTCTTCCTGTCAAAGATTGTAAAGATCTGGACAAAATCAATCGTACTTTAAGATGACATAAAACAACTGAACAACTTAATATTTCTGATCTGCCCATCTGTATATAATATTCATTTATAAAATATACAAAAAACAAAAAACAAAACTCAGCCTTGGTGCATTTATCTCGCAATCGTACATGCATAACATGTGAAAAAAATCTTTTCATTCAAGGCAGTTAATTTGAACGTACAGGTGAACATGTTCTGAAAAATAGAAGACATAATTATACATTTATGGTAAGATTTTTTGATCCAAAAGTAGCTTCTCTCTGATAAAAAAAAGTCGCCCGCGTGGCGCAGTGGTTAGTGCGTTTTCTCCAGAGTCGCGGTGTACAGAGTTGATCCTGACGTGGCGGGTTCGAATCCTACTGCGGGACGTGGAGACAGGTACATCGGATGAGACTGTAAAAACCGAGCTCCCGATGTCGCAGTAGATGCTGGCTCTAAGTGCCGAGTATAGGTCTAAATTAGCAACCCTCCACCAGCAAGTTGTTGCGTCTCCATATGAGTGAAAAATTCTCGAGAGGGACGTTAAACAATAAACAAACAAACTGATCAAAAATATCCTTTCTTGACAGGTGTTCTACTGGACCCATATGCTGTACATACCTTTCTGGATCCTCCTCATCCTACATGGGCCAATTTTCTGGATGTTTTTCGTTGCACCAGGTGCTATGTTTGTGCTTGAGAAGATCTTCAGGTCAAAGCTTATAAAGAGGGCACGTTACGGCAATACTCATATAACGGAAGTTCACCTCCTACCATCCGGAGTACGTGTACATAAAACATTTATTGAAAAATACTTACTGAACTCTGCTTAGAAAGTTTCATGCATAAGTTTTCAAACTTAAGCAATGCCAAATTCATTAACAAATAAATCAAGAGGGACAGTTTAATTAAACTGAATGGTTAACTGTCTACGAACTTTTTTTTTCAGCGTGGGATTTATATATGTACGCTAAATGCATTATTCTATACCAAATTAATGATGCCTTATAATGCAGGCTTGTGTAATAATATAGGGTTAATGAACTTTTATTTTTGAATATCAGCACTAATCGGCTGTGCAAATACACGAGCTTCAATAAAAAGACATATTGATATCGAACGCTTAAAATTCTCTAGACTTGGTTTTTTTTTTTATCGCAGACTATTTATTAGCTATAAATAAATAATAAAACAGATTACTTTGTTATAAACATTTAGTTCATCAGAAGTGTATTCCCTGTGAACTGTATTTTGTCCTACTATCAGTAGATACACAAAAATAGGCAAATTTGGTAATATTGGTGATATTCTCATAAAGTTCTTCCTCGTAAGATATACATCAACGCGTTCCTCATTCAGTACTCAGTAGAAAACGTGTATTACAAATATTGAGGAATTATTTTAATTCGTGGGTGTCAATGTTGGTGAGCAAGTAAAATTTTACTGGTTGAGACGTAATTCTGTGATTAATTCATTTAATTAAGGAGGTTTCAATGAATCAAAACGTTAACAAATTAAAGTTTCATGTATTTTCATGGCTATGGGTGACCCTTGAAATGCAAAAATATTGGTCCCCCACGAATAATGATGATTCCTTAGTATAAATGTTAATCATTTATTACCCTATTTTTAGGTATGCCATTTAGTCATATCCAGACCTGACAATTTTAAGTACCAGCCAGGTGATTACATCTTCATACAGATCCCTGTCATTGCAGCTAATGAGTGGCATCCATTTACAATAAGCAGCGCTCCAGAAATGAAAGGTAAAAGAATATATGTTCAGGACATAGAAGAGTGCTATCTATTTGCAATTCCGTAATACAATCCTGGTAGCAGAACATATTGTTTGACGTCTAGACATCTTTTATTGCTATGATTATTTCGAAACAGTTACATATGAACCTAAAAGTAGATATCTATTTTCGCATTGTAAGTGTCCAGATTTTTTCGAAAATTATATTTTTATATCATTATGCGTTTTTCAATGCATCAGCAAAACATTTTTGTGATGCAACATAATTTAATTCAAAGTATAGAAATTGCTACTCCTTAACGTAATTTTTTATCATGAGCTTATTTTCTTGAACTAATCCGTAATTCGTAATAAAAATTTTTTGTTGTTGATATTTTGGTTTTATTGGTCTCTCAGTACTTTTAAACAAGAGCATTCTAACCATCATTTGAATAAACGACATTTATGGAAACGCAAATGATTTGTAGTTTTTTGCCAAAAAAACACCCCATCTCCGGTAGTTGCTGTTGTTTAAAAAAAACTATTGCTTAAAGATATTTCGCAACTATGATATGTACAGTGCAGGAAACTAATTTTGTTACAGCATCGATGCTGATTTGAATGCTTCCTTTGCTTGCTGATTTGAATGCTTCCTTTGCTTGCTGATTTAATGCTAGTAATCCTTATCCTGATGCTGTTTTATAATTAGGTCAATGCTACCGGAAGTAGCATCATGCTACCGGAAGTAGATAATGAATTTCAGCATTGCCGTTTAAAGCAATAAAAGGGCCTTTTACAATTATTTGATCATAATATCTCACTATATATCAATAATGTGAATACTTTAATCAATATTCTTTCTTTTTTTTTTTAATTTTTTACTGAATTAAAACTCATTGATTTTCTGATGCTAGTAGGATAATGCTGATTTTATGTAGGTCAATGCTGGATTTATCCTTTGCTTGCTGATGCTGATCCTGGTAATGCTGTTTTTTAGATGCTGATGCTGATGCTAGCTCGATCCTGATGCTACTAATGCTTATGCTGATGCTGGTTTATGTAACAAAATTAGTTCCCTGCACTGTACCTACATTTACAAAGATAATCAATATGTTTATGAAACGATATTGCAGTGCATAAAATTGTATATTTCTTTTAAAGGTCACATTTGGCTACACGTTCGATCAGCTGGACACTGGACAAACAAATTATATGAGTATTTTTCAGAGTTAGATCCCATAAATTTGGGTAAGCCAGAGGTAGCCCTTCAAAAAAGGCGACCTACTCTCTCACCTGCACTACTTAATTTCAAAGGTATCTTATTTTACTCTATCATTTAGTTTTTTTTCTTTTGTATCACAGCAAAACACGGTTTAAAGGAATATACTGTAATCAGTTTCTAATACCAAATGATCCGAATCTGAGGATTTTTTCATTTCTATGCAAAGAGAAAAAAATCGTAAATATGATTAAATTCTAGAATTATGGATTGTATAACCGTGTTTTATACTGGATGGCACGAGTGCACTTCAACTTAATGTCTTATCTTTTACATGTATATGTACATCGATATGATATACATTACACAATGTACACATTTAACTGTATATATTAAAGAAGATCGACATTGCACTCATTTTGGGATTAAATCATTTCTGCAGCTTTACTTGTCCTAACATGATTCTGTGTTTATCTTCCTTATATACATGATAATAACAGTATCTGTACTGTTATATTCTTATTAATTACACATCATTTTAAGAAAAGAATTAATGACACGGAACCTCAGTTTTTAAGGTCTCATCCGAAAGACCCGTGACATTCACCTCTTATGCCCTGTGCTTGGCGAAGACCCAGTCACAGTCAAATTAAGATTTCAAATATAAAATGTTTATCATTTGCAAGTTGTGGTCAGTGTTCATGTCATTTTCTGATATTCTGGTTAGTCGATAACAGTATCAGAAAGTACAAAGTCACTATCCCCATTGCAGTATTAGAATATTTAAAAAAAAAATCATCACACATATTACACTTACCCCATCGATATATAAAAATAGAAAAATTAAGTGCATTTTCTGGTTAATTGTAAAGGACTCGCATTAAGGATATTAATGAAACATTGTTGATTTTAGTATTATTTAGCTTTATTATGAATATTAATTAATTCGTTCATTAATGACGATGCCTTGGTAAGAATGCACACATATTTAGTTTAAACTTTTTTTGGTTTCTATTGTCCATGTATTTTAATTTTGTAGACTGTCTTAGTTACCAATTGTTTTTCCTTACATTTAATATAATATTTGCTTGAGTAATATACGCGGGAGGAATTATACCAAATTACTATTTATATTATAAGCATGCACTTATATTTATAGAAGAAATTTGTGTTAAGATTTCTGGCATTTTATTTTATTTTAATGTTGTCTGAGAAGGTTTGATGTTATTTTCAAGAACCAGTGTTGAATCATTTAATGTTAAGTCATATGCACTGAATGGAACATGAAAAAGTACCAGGCCCATACAGAGTATTCTGTTTTGCAATTGCTGTAAATCATTTTTTATTTGCGAGACCATTATTGAGAAATTTACGCGAGACTGTTTCCTTGCGAAAATTTGATTCTCGTGAATACTTATGTTTGTAAAGATTGTATACAACAAATGTCAGACTTCATGAAAATTTTGTCTGGCTTATAGATACCAAACAGCTCTCTCGCGAAAATAAGGTGGCGCGAATATTTGGTGATCTGCATAAGTCATCCTTCTAAGTGACTAAAATAATATCATAGCTAAAACAATTGATCTTTGGTATGGTTTATAAACAGTTCTAGGCAATCGAGTCTTTTTTGTCTTGCACATGTTAACAATTAGAGGCAACATACATGTATATACATGTAAATTTGGGTATAGCTCTCTCTACTTTAGTTTTGCTATGATGTGTTTTATGTTTTGTTTACAATTTTCCAGCAATAAGTGATTCTGTTTGACAAAATATCATTTTGAAAATCAATACATTATTTTCCTCCTGGAAATAATTATTTTATGTGATTTTAGGAAATGAAAAAATATTCAATTCTACTTGCATAATTTACGTTAACATCTAAATTAAAAAAAATAAATGAATAAGAATTGAGCATCGGCCAATTTTTAA